CTGCTTTGAGTCCTTTTTAATTATGTTATTTCTTCTAGTCATCCCTTTACTCTCTTACTTCAGTAGAGTCGTTTAAAAATAACCATGCAGCACTATGAATGCTCTACTGCTGGGAATTTTTTCCACTGGCTATGCTAGTTCAACTCTCTTAAGTTCTGCATTCCACAAAGGCCTAGAGCATGAACACAATGCAGCCAAATTCTTTTTGAAACTTTATAACAAGGATGATCTTTATTCCAGTTTCCAATACCATCCTCCTCCATTTGAGAGGCTGTCAGAATGACCTTTATGATCCACGTGTGTGTCAACATTCTGGTTACAACCACTTTGGTGATTTCTGAGAATCTATGGACTTTCCTTAGTCTTTTATTCTGAGCCTTCCCTGGAATTTCCTTTAACACACTTTTTGCAGAAGAACAGGCTTTTTAACATTCCATTCTAAACTTGTCCAGCCTCTGCCAGTTATGGAGCTCCAAGCCACGTCCATGTTTCGAGGTATCTGTATAAGAGTGACTCCTCTCTCGGTACTGCTTTTGTGCATTAGTCCAGTTTCTGTTGGTCTAAGGAAATATGTAAGTTGGGTAATGTAAGAAAAATAGAAATTTATTTGGCTCATTGTCCTAGAGACTGGGAAGTTCAAGAGCATGGCCCCAGCATCTGGTAAGGGTCTTCCTGATGCCTCCTACCATGATAGAGAGCACCACGTGGTGAGATAGCACAAATATGCTCGCTTTCTGTTCCTCTACTCATAAAGCCATTAACGCCATCATCGGGGCGGGGGGTTCCTTCTCATGGCCTCGCCTAAGCCAAATTACCTTCCAAAGGTCAAATATCATTAACCTAAAAGTCTGGGGATTAATTTTCCAGTCAATGAACTTTTGGGGTACACATTCAAACCGTAGTTAATACCCCAGCCTCTCTGCCATTGCCTGTCTCTTGAATGATCCTGTCTACTTCCTCAGCCACTAACACTCACAAGTCATACTCTGTCTCTACTTATCACCAACACCTGCAGGCCCTCCACAGTCTCCTGTGCAAGCAGTCCCTTTGCCCCTATGCCTCCAGCTCATTCTATTCCAACCAATTATGAACTCAAATTTTGTTTTATTTAGAATAAATGTTATTGTCATTCCATCTTTCTATTGTCCATCATACTATGAAACTCTTCATCTGCTACCCAGCTTCAATCTGCAGATCTTACCATTTGCTGCATTATTCCAATTACTATCTATTTCCTTGTGTCACTTATCCCTCACTTCTACCCTCACAAAGTAATGACATTCACCGTATAGTTTAAGAAACAGATTTATATAGGTGAATCTCCCCAAGATTAAATAAATAGTGGTGGGCCTAGGACTTTAGATATCTCATTCTTTTCTTGATAGTACACTGGAAATAAAACTTATTCACTTCTGGGGCTAGGGATTTAGTTCAGTGGCACAGCACCTGCCTGGCAAGCGCAAGGTCGTGAGTTCGATTCCTAGTACTGGAAAAAAACAAACAAAAAAAATTATTCACTTCCTTGAGTTATGAAGATCACATACCCAGTTTGCTCTATAAACTGTGCAGTGCCCTGCAAATGTCAGCTATAATTAGTCATCAATGACTAGAGAGGCTTTCCTCTTCCTCTTCAGGGAAGACTTAACCCAGGATTTCCTTCAACCCTCTTCTTTCTTTTATAGCTGTACACATACAGTAAACAATTGTATTCAGTGTTCCCATATCATTTCTGACACAAGCTTCATAGATGCAAAAAAGGGCAAAATTATGAATTGTGGTTAGATTCTAATTTCCAACTGAATGCTCAGTTTCATTACATTTGAACAAACATTTATAAGCTAGGCTGTGATTCATTACAATCCACTGACTAGTAAAAGAACTGGCATAACACTTTCCTAAATTGGTGAACACCTGACTTATACTTTCTTATATAAGTTGAACAGAATTCAGAAACGACAGAGCCAAGCTTCAGTACAAAAGACGGGATGTTTTCAAGTTTTATAGGCACTTGGAACCCTGAATTTCTGAGACCTGCCGCTCATGTCCATGAAGAACACTCACACACCTAAAGGAAGGCTGTATTCCACACACTAGAAGCAGCTGTGAGACCAATCCATTCCACCCTGTTCTTAGCAGAGCTGCATCAACAAGACAGCTCAGGACCAACAAGTTTTCTTCTAGTGATACATATAAAATACTAGGTAGTCTGGCATGGTGGCGGATACCTATAATCCCAGCAAGTGGGAGGCGGAGGAAGAAGGATACCATTAATTTGACGTCAGCCTGGGCTACATAGTAAGTTCATGGCCACCCTGTTTCACAAAAATCGAAACAAAACAAAAACAAAATGCTAGGTATACTACTTCCTTGTAAACATAAAAACAGTAACTGTCACGTGGCAGAGCAAGTAAGAGTTCCTTTACCTGCTATTTTTTTCTACCATTTTCCCTATTTCATTTCTTTCTGTTCTAGAATGATGCACTTCCATCTGTGAGATTTTCACTCCATAAAATGTCCATTTCTGCCTTCTAATGCTATCTGGGCTGTCCTTCCTACATTTTACCTCTGACGCTGACCTTAAAACTGTTCCAACAGGAAGTCTTAGAAAAGGAGAGGTATGCCTGCTATTCTCTTATGTAATTATCCTACTTTGTAACACTGCATAGGAGTTCAGACTTCCAAGAAACGCAAGCACCAGTCGAGGGACATGCACGCCAGACTAGAAAAGCAGGGCTGTTTTCTATTGTGGCTCTTTGTTCACTGAATGTCTCTGAACTCATGCAGAGATAACCGCTACACCTCACAGTTTGCAGATTTAATAAAGAGATGGACATCACAGCATAATATAATGGTGTGTTTTACATGTACTCCCTGGGATGTTAAAGATAATGCTCTGGCTTACAGTAGATGTTTATTAACTATTTATGAGCCACTATTTTGTCATTGGGTCAAACCCTACTTTGCTCCCTCTTTGTTTTTGTTTGGTTTTTTTCCCCCCCATTTTAGGATACTGTCTCATACTAGTTTGTTTCCAAAGAAGAAAGGAAAGACTGGGTTGTTATAATATTTAGTAACGTCAGGTTTACCTGCTTAGTTATGAGTGTTCAGCAAACTCTGTTTCCTTTTCTACTAAGCGCACTTTATTTCCCAGCCACCTACAGTTCGGTGGCATCACGTGACCATGTGTATGAATTCCGGCTAAGGGAATGTGATAAAAACTCCTTCCAGGACTGGCTCCTCACACTGTGGGCAATTTAGCCACAGATCTCTTCCCTTATCCATAGATGGCCTATAGATGGAAGTACAGTATTCTACGGCTACAGGGTGTGGTGGATCTTCCAGATGGAAGGAGCCTAGTTCTTCCACAAATGCAAGGAACACAGATCTCCACCCGCGCCCAGTCAACCCATATCACACTGTGACTTGTATGAAACATAAACCTTGGTGGAGTTAAGCTACTGAAATACTGACAGTGTTACCCAGCCCTAATCAACACATCGTGTTTCTCACTAGCGATAGCGTAAGTGAAACGAACCTTTAGACTTGGTTCCAGAACATGGGATACGAATCCCGGCTCTCCCATCCTCCCCCCACATATATTCCATGAACTGCTCCAAGAATACAGTCTATGCTTTTTTCCAGCTGTTCCTGTAGCTCATTCTCCTCCTTCGTTATAGAGCCTATTTTTCTACCTCACAGTTTCTGTGACACCTTCTCTGACACCCCTCCACAAGGGCGCTTCTCTGCTCCAAGTGCAGAGTATATTCCTCAGTTTCAACATCTATTACATTTTCTTGCAAATGTTTGTTGACATGTGCTTCCAGAATTCTTTGATTCTCACCAGTTACTTACGTCTGCCACAGAACAGGAGACAGTTGTGTATTCAAAGAAGGTTTGTCACATAAAACCTTAAGCCAGTCATTTTTAAACTATATTTTACACAGCTGCTGGGATGACGCGATAATGCATGTGATTTATTAGTTATAAACAGATTCCGAAGTGCGGTGTTTATTCTGTTTTCTCGGCCCTTCCCATCTCTTCCGGTCAAATCCATCCTAATGCTTCACAGAAGAACTGCGCAGTGGGATTTTGAGACCTGCCACATGTGTGATTTAGAACCTCACAGTGGACACATTAACAAAGCTAAAACGGGTGAAATTAGGTTCAGTAACATATTTAACCCAGTGTATTGCAGAGAGCACTCGTGAGGTGTTGTACATCTTCCAGACAGTGCAGTCTGTCATCCCTGCACGCACACTCACATCGAGGTCAGACCAGCCCCGCCGCACGGGCCGGACGCCGCGCGGCCGCAGGTGAAGTCAGCCCGGGCCCTGCACCCCACGATCCCGACGCTGCAGGGTCGGCTCCGGGGAAGCCCAGGCCGGCCTGCGGCCTCGCTCTCGCAGCCGTCACCGGCCGGTCCCCGCGGTCACGAAATGCGGGGCGACGGACGCGGCGCTAC